GTCTTCAATTCTCTTCAATTCTATTTCGCGGTACTAAAACTATCATGATGACCATGAGAAGTATCACGACACTTAAATATCGTGATGGTTTTTAATTATATAACGACATCTGACATACCGTGATGGTCTTCAATTGGTTTTCAGTTATATAACGACATTTGAAATACTGTGATGGTCTTCAATTGGTTTTCAATTATATAACGACATCTGAAATACCTTGATGGTTAATTAGATGCAATAATTTCAAGTCTAATCACGGCAGACTCAGTGTTGTGATGGTCTTATGTTCTGAGGTATCACGGTACTAAAACTATCATGATGACCATGAGAAATATCACGACACTTAAATATCGTGATGATTTTCAATTATATAACGACATCTGAAATACCGTGATGGTCTTCAATTGGTTTTCAATTATATAACGATATCTGAAATACCTTGATGGTCTTCAATTATATAATGACATCTAAAATACCGTGATGGTCTTCAATTCTATTTTACCCGTGATAGTCTTCTTCAATGAAGAAGTTTGATGCGAATATCCATCTGAAATACCGTGATGGTCTTCAATTATATAACGACATTTGAAATACCATGATGGTCTTCAATTCTATTTCACGGTACTAAAACTATTATGATGACCATGAGAAGTATCTCGTCACTTAAATATCGTGATGGTTTTTAATTATATAACGACATCTGAAATACCGTGATGGTCTTCAATTGGTTTTCAATTATATAACGACATTTGAAATACCTAGATGGTTAATTAAGTGCAATAATTCCAAGTCTAATCATGGTAGACTCAGTGTTGTGATGGTCTTATGTTTTGAGGCATCACGGTACTAAAACTATCACGATGACCATGAGAAGTATTACGGCACTTAAATGTCGTGATGATTTTCAATTATATAATGACATCTGAAATACCGTGATGGTCTTCAATTGGTTTTCAATTATATAACGACATCTGAAATACCTTGATGGTCTTCAATTATATAACAACAACTGAAATACAATGATGATCTTCAATTATATTTTCACCCGTGATAGTCTTTTTCAATGAAGAAGTCTAATGCGAATATCCATCTGAAATACCGTGATGGTCTTCAATTATATATCGACATCTGAAATACCGTGATGGTCTTCAATTATATATCGACATCTGAAATACCGTGATGGTCTTTAATTCTCTTCAATTCTATTTCATGGTACTAAAACTATTATGATGACCATGAGAAGTATCACGGCACTTAAATATCGTGATAGTTTTCAATTATATAACGACATCTGAAATATCGTGATGGTCTTCAATTGGTTTTCAATTATATAACGACATCTGAAATACCTTGATGGTCTTCAATTATATAACGACATCTGAAATACCGTGATGGTCTTCAATTCTATTTCACCCGTGATAGTCTTCTTCAATGAAGAATTCTAATGCGAATATCCATTTGAAATACCGTGATGGTCTTCATTTATATAATGACATCTGAAATACCGTGATGGTCTCCAATTTTATTTCACCCGTGATAGTCTTGTTCAATGAAGAAGTCTAATATGAATATCCAATGAGGCAAATTTCACCCGTGACAGTCTTCTTCAATGAAGAAGTCTAATGCTAATATCCAATGAGGCAAATGAACTTTTTCTTCAATAAAGAAGTGTAATGCGAGGAGAGGGATTCCCAGTGAGAGAGAGCGAGAGAGCAAGAACAATTAGGGTTGAGGAGGCCCTGAGAGAGGCAAATGAGGGAGAGGGATCCCCAGTCAGAGAGAGCGAGAGAGCTAGAACAATTAGGGATGAGGGGGCCCTGAGAGAAGGCACGTCAGAGAATAACGAAGAGATAGCGTGGAAGAATGGAAGAAGGATTTTATTGCGAGTGAAATAGAATTGAAAACCATCACGACACTTTATCATCACGGTAATTTAAATACCGTGATTCCTCAAAACATCAAGACCATCATGGCATTGAGTCTACCGTGATGCCTTCATGGTCATACGACAACCGTAAAGGCTATTTTGGCCCAAATAATACAAAAAGTAAAACAACGGGGTATAAACGAGACTTAAGATAGTATGAGGTTTTTTTTTAAATAAGCCAAAAGTTAAGGTACATTTCTAATAACCTTTCTTTAAAATAATTTGATCAAAATTATTGTCTAAAATTTGGGAACATTGACAGCAGTAACAAAATATGGATCTTGTAGGCATGTTCATAGCCCATATTTGGGCAGTCATATATTATGATACATTTTTTATACATAGAAAGTCGATGTAATCTAAAGACTTGGAACATAGGTATTACCAGAGTTATAGTAATATTAGGGTATTTAGACTTTTGTTATAGTTAGCCTCTTTTTTTATTTTTTTTATTTTTGGGGGGGAGGAAGAAAAGAGGCAGGGTGGTGAACATAGAATCTGAGCATTCAGATCTACAGAGGCTACTGGAGTTAGAAGATCTTTTTTTCTCTCAGTTTTCATTCAAACAAGAAAAAGGTTGTAACGGCTATAGTTTACTTGGCTCCTGTTCGCCAGCCCTACTAGTTAGCATCATGGAGTGCGTATCAGCTGAGCAAATACAGTATTCTACTATATGTTTTTTCTTTTCAAAACTTAAAACATTACAAATGAACTATCAAACTATGGGCAGTATTCGACCCATAAAAGGAGGAAAATGGGCGGAATACGACAAGATTTATGGAATTGGCATATCTGGATCCTTACCTCAATGTAATTTACTGATAATGCAGTGCACAGGTGTATCACAGAAGCTCTTGCTGAAATCAAAGACCTCTCTTTGTATACATCACCTCTATTGAAAACTGTGGTAGTCTCCTCCGTCGAATTAGTGAATCTCCTCTATCTAACTAATGCAAAAGATTGTCGGATGGCAAATCCTCGAAAGCAAACATCCTCTTTAAAGGACGTTAGGTTCGCATGAAAATGTTTTCCAAAAAATATTTTCACATGAAAAAATGATCTCATGTATTCAAGTGCGAGAATATCTTTACATCAATTAATTTACCAATTGGTGTGAAAAGATAAACTAAGACCAATTGGTATGAAAATATTCTCATACTTGACTGTATGAGAGAATTTTTTCATGTAAAAATGTTTCCTAAAAAATATTTTCACTTGGACCAAGCATGCCATAAGTAACAAATCCACTCAGTAAGCAACCCAGAGAACTTCAAATTATTAGCATCACTCAACAAGGCTGACATGCTTAAAATAGATTTAGGAAGAAGCTTCAAACAGATTAAGGAAGAAGCTCCAAACCTTTCATGCACAGTGAATGTACAAGAGAGTGATTCTCTGTGTACTTTACCTCCTTGCACATGAAGCATGCATGTGGGGCTTCAATCTCATGATTTTGAAGGTGATTCACCATGAGGATTTGTGCTAGAATGGTCAAGTATCCAAAGCAGAGAAGAAGAATAAGAATTGGTCCACCTCAAATGCAGCAAGTACCAAATCCATTTTGCCCTCAAGTAGTAGAGAAGTTAGGTGTATTTTGATAAAAAAATTTCCTACTCAATGACATTGTGACAAGACGAGCTATTCCAATCATCCATTGAAATCGAAAGATTGATAATAGGAGCCGCATATATTTTAATGTAGATAACAGCAATACATCATACACGTTTATCGTTAATTAATGGGTTTGTTTGTTATGCAATAAGAGCCTTTTTTTATTTATTTTTTTTCTTTTGTTTTTGTTTTTCTCTTTTTCTGTGGAGGTGGATTCTATCGACCTTCGGCCTCACCTTATTAATATTATTTCTACCCTTGACCGGACTACCCTCTCTCATTTTGTGAAACAAATCCATTGGAAAAAAAAGAAGAAGCCTAGACAATAGTTTTTTCTTTTCAACCCGGTGACCAAAGGCTGTCCATTTCATTTGATCCAGATTGGCAATTCACGATCCATATCAACAATTTTTCCTACCTAACCTCCAAATCTGATCCAGGCTAGCAATTTTTGATTCAGATCGGCTATTTTTAAAATCCTAAGTACAAGTAATATGGTGTGCACCCATGGTCAGTATTCTGAAACACCACTCAGCCAAGGTACTCGGACCTTGGCTGAGACGAGATGCTCAGGCAAGTCCGAGGAACTCGCTTGGTTTCAGACCTATTAAAAAAATAAAATACATATAGTATAACCTGCCCTTTTGAACAGTAATTGTCAAAAGACATGGTGCCGTGGTGGCTAGAATAGCTGCCTTTTGATGCCTCCTTTACAAAGGATCTTGGGTTCGATGAGCCTATTTTTTTAGCTCCTGTGTTTGTTTTACTGTATTTTTTTAACACTGAAAAAATACACCAGAAAAATAGACATAGTATTTTGTTAAAAAAATCTCCCCTAGCCTTTTGTTGACTCACGCATGCTTTCTTAGTGGTACGCTGTTCCCAACCAAAGATCCAAATAACTTATAATCATCAATATTGTAAAAATATGGTGCATTATGGACACCATTGTCTACAAATAATAATAGTTCTTACCTTGTTATGTGGTTTAAATTTTAAAAACCTCGATGAGCATTGCTATTGCTAATTTTGAACAGCAGGCTTTTTGTCCCTAAATAGTTTATAAATGAGAGAAAAAGGTCACAGCTAGGAGTGGCCTCTACGCCTAAGAAGTCAGGGTGGCTAAATCCCACAACGCAATGTCCTGAAAAAAAGAAAAAAGAAAAAAAAGAATGAATGAGATGAGAATTGATGTTTGTGAACATTGCACATAGATGGGCCAATCATAAGATTTCTATCAAAGAATCAAACCAGGCGGCGGACACTCTGGTATGGACAGTGTGAATGGCATCTGCATAACATAGTTGACAAACTATGATCAAAGCAACTGGTCCACACCACACATTCAAAGTTGACTTCCCTTGCCTTGATAAATCAAGTCCTTAACAACGTAGCATATTACAAGCTTGTCGCTACAAGTGCTTCGAAGACCCTCTTCTCTCTACTGTATCTCCCTGCAAATAATTCATTCTTCCCTTACTTCTTAGCAATATCATTGTGCGCCTTTTGCCAAAGCAGCACAATGTATTTCTTAGAACCCATTTCCGAAATACTCAAATTTCTATGGGTTCCCCTTATTCAGCAGATCGGGTACCTCATAAACCTCCAGGATAATGTTGAGGAGATGCGAAGACAAAAAGAAGAGCTTTGTGAGAGAAAGAAAGATGTAATGATAGAGGTTGCGGCAGCTGAGAGAGAAGGAATGACACCCACAAACCAGGTGCGCGAATGGTTAAACAGAAGCGACATTATAGAAGCTGAAGTGGATCAGTTGGACAAAAATTATAGAGAGAGAAATGGGTGTTTAGGAGGACATTTTCCAGCCTGCTACTCTAGACACAAATTGGGTAGAGAAGTCGCAAATAAGCTCAAAGACGTGGCATCCCACAAGGACAAAGCAGCATTTGAGAGGGTGGCCTTTAATCCTCCACCCTTGATGGTAGAGGAGAAACCTGTGGCATCCATTGCAGGCCAGACCACAACCAACAAAACGCTAAATGATATCATGAGCCTCTTTAGAGAAGAGGAAGTTGGTATCATTGGGATCTATGGAATGGGGGGTGTGGGGAAAACAACTCTCATCAAACATGTAAACAATCACCTCATTGCATCTCGTGAATACAGTGCAATATTTTGGGTAACAGTATCAAAAGATTCAAACATAGACAAAATTAGGAAGGCTATCATGCGCCAATTGGGTATGAGGTTCTCAGGAGATGATGATGAGGAACAAATTGCAGAAAAATTGTTCAAAAGATTGAGGGAGCTTAAGTTCGTAGTCATCCTAGATGATGTGTGGAAGAGCTTGGATATTGATGCAATAAGAATTCCCAGGCCAAACAAAGAAAATGGTAGCAAGATTGTATTTACCACCAGATCTCTAGAAGTATGTCACCAAATGGATGCTGATAAAAGCGTCAAAGTGGAAGTTTTGCAGGAGGAGGAAGCGTGGACCTTGTTTCGTCAGAAAGCAGGAAATGAGGTAGAAACTCCACCAATAGAGTCAACTGCCAAGGAAGTTGTCAAGGAATGTGGTGGTCTTCCACTTGCATTAATTACAGTCGGAAGGGCCATGAGAGAGAAGAGGAGCATCGAGGTATGGCAAAATGCAGCCAGAGCATTGCGAGGATCATCACCAGAGATCACAGGTATGGAATCCCAAGTGTTTCTACCTTTGCAATACAGTTATGACCAGTTAGGTGATGATGTCAAGCGTTGCTTCTTATATTCATCAGTGTTTCCAGAGGACCACGCCATTTTGAAGGATTTTTTAGTAGAGTATTGGATATTTGAAGAACTAATAGGTGGAGTTGACAATATAGCAGATGCTAGAAACAAAGGAAATGCAATAATTCAGAGCCTCATAGATTCATGAATGATGGAGAATAGTTGGAAAACTAATGAAGTGATGTTGCATGACCTTGTTCGTGATCTAGCAATATGGGTTGCTTCTTCTTCAACGAGACTAGTTGGTAAGATTTTTACGAAAGCCGGTGCAGGGCTGAAAGACGCACCAAGAGAGGAATTGTGGAGAGACATTGAAAGGATGTCATTAATGAGGTATAGAATAGAGAGACTTCCAAATAGGCCCAATTGTCCAAGTCTACTGACATTGTTGCTCCAAGAAAACATTACCCTGAAGAAGATCTCATGTGAATTCTTCGAATGCATGGGAAACCTCAGGGTTCTTGATCTAAGTCGAACTCAGATTTCCTCATTACCACAATCCTTGACAAACTTGAAGAACCTCCACGCCCTCCTTCTGAGAGAATGTCGAAAACTAGTAGAGCTACCAGCAATGGGGCAACTCAAACCACTCCAATTATTAGATTTGTATTTTACCCCCATCAAAAAACTTCCTGAAGCGATGGAGGACTTGGCTAATTTGAAACGCTTAAGGCTAGCCAAAACTAATGATCTTCAAACTGTTCAACCTGGAATAATATCAAGACTAACTTCTCTGGAGGAATTGAACATGTTTGAAAGCTGCGGAAATTGGGGAGTCAAAGGGTCAAAAGAGGGGAACGAAGTTGATATCGAGGAGTTAAGGAGCTTAACACAGCTGAACTCACTTGGGATCACAGTCACAAGCATTGGAGTTGTATCAAAACTCAGTGTTGGAAAACTCACAACATGTACAAGAGAATTATGCATAAAAAATTGCAAGGATTTCATTGATGTTACACTAGTAAACAAAATGAGCTTGAAAGGGCTGGCTATCAAAGGCTGCCAGGAATTAGAGAGGTTTATGGTTGGAGAAGATCTGAAAGGGGTTGCAGCATTTCCAAGAGTACTTAGAGCTTGATAACCTACCGAAACTAAGGAGCATATGGGAGAGTGTATTGCCACGGCATGCAGTTGAAAACCTTAGGCGAATTACACTTTTTAGATGTCATGAACTAAAGAGTGTGTTCTCATCAGAAATACGGCAACAACTCCAAATGCTTGAGGTCATCAATATATCACAGTGCAACGGAGTTGTACAAGTAATTAGTGGCCTAGTGACAGAAGAGTTTTGCCTACCGAGATTACAAACTATAATTCTTCGTGCCCTGCCGTTGTTAATAAATGTTTGTCAAAGTGCCATAGCTGGGGCTTCCACGCAGGTGATTATCGTAAGGAGATGCTTCAAGCTGAAAAAGCTTCCACTTGGAGCCTGCCATGCAAGATCACTAAAGAGAATTGAGAATGGTGGGAGGAATTGGAATGGGAAGACGATGCAATCAAGTCCGATTTACAACCTTTCTTATTTTGATTTTGAGTTCAAATAAAAAACAAGAGAAAGAGCATATTGGAAGGAGGCAATGTGTGCAATGATTATCAACTTGCGAAATAGAAGACAAACAGAATATATGGTGACAATAAAAAAGGCTAGCATGGAGGCTCAGGCCTACAAATCATTTTCTGTTTTCTTTGATTGTTCTTTTTCAGCCCTCAAAATGAGTTTGACTCCTTCCAAAAGAAACGAGGATCCTAATTGAAGGGGAAGATGGCACATGCCCTAATTATCATTCCTATCACTCCTTTACGTTTATTTCCTCTCTAACATGCTCATTGTTTCTTTCTGCTAATTATCATAGAGAATATAAAATGCTTATGTTGTAGATTCATGGAAAAAACAAACAAGTATCCTACCATTCATCTCCTATGCAGCAGGTACCAATGCTATTAGTTTCGATTCATTTGGTCAAACAGGTGTTACTCATGAAGAAGAAAAAAGGAAGCATTAAAATGCCATAAATTTGACATGAAAAATCACGGATGATGGCTCCAACCGGGAGAAAGAAAACTGAATTCCACAAGAAAGATCTTGTGACAAGGCTACTTTCACGAGCGTACTCTGGAACTCTACAGTGAAGCAATCAAAGTGTCCACTTATGGTCAAGTTACTTGTTGCTGATCCTTGAGATGGGCTTCATACTGGTGTATCTCTCATTTTGGTCCTCATAGCATGTTCATTTCTTTTTTTGGTTTTCTTTTCCTTTTTCTTTTTTTTTTTTTGGGAGAATGAATTTGACGTGTTCTCTATTGAAAAAGAATCAAATTCACCACGAAACAAAGCAATGAAGCTCCAAGTCAATCAACTCTGTTATCTTTCATATCTGCCTTTTAGGTGGGGATTTGGTTTCTGAGTCATTTGATCACCTGTGGCATTGGTCTTCTTTCTTACGACATCAGTGGTGTGTCTCAGGTTTGTTGAGTATGTGTTTTACCTTCTAGATAATTTGGCCTCAATCTATCCAGTAAATGATGAGGTTGCAAGGGGTTGGGGATGAAACCTGATCAATAATTCAGATTAATTCGCACCGCAAGTTCAATTAGAGAGTGAATACGATCCACAATATTGAAAGGTACGGTCCACAATATATTTGCAGAATTCTTCAAATGTCTTTATTATTATTTTTAAGAGTTACCCACAGTACTAATTACTAAAACATTTCTTTCAAACTGACAAAACTAATGTCTGAATCACAATATGTACATAATCAGTGCACTGAAGCGTTGTGGCCTTCATTCCTTATCTTTGTCACACAAGAGTATCCAAAATGTTTCCTTATAATGCCAGTCTCCTATATTTGGTCCGCATTGGCCAAGGCAGCTATGAGAATATGTTCTGCTATCAGCAAAATGAGGGTAAATATTTTGGTAGGATAATTTCTCTTAAGAAATATAAACAGACAGATGCCCAAAATATTGACTAAGATCTGTATTAAGACTGCAAAAGAAATAGAGAAAAATCTGGCCTAGATGTCACCCTTCAAATTGATAGAAACAACTACCAAGATTTAGACCTTAAATTGCAACATTTAAACCTTACAATCCAACAAAAATAGAGGGTTTTTGCAACAACATAAAATGAGCAGTGCTCAAAAGACAGCCCATGACTCTTTTCTTTTCTTAGACAAACTAAGCTGCTTGGGTTTTGACCATATAAGGCATTGTCAAAAGATCATCATCCATATAAGGCATTGTCAAAAGACCATCATCATCATCCGAGCCTTATCCCAACTATATGGGGTTGGCCAGGCATTGTCAAAGATGTTACATCAAAAAATTTAAAATTCACATTTATCATAAAGAGAAACCTAAGGATACCAGACACCTGCCTTCATTAAGCCTTGGTGTTCAAGGCAAACCACAGCATCAAAGAAGCAAAAGTGCTACCAAACCTTATCAACTGAACTTTAGATGGAAAGGGGGGTCTTATCAATATGGAAGGTCCCCCACCGGCAGATCCCAGTTGTCATCACCATCATCTAAATCCCTCTTTGAAGCTGCCGAATTATCTGAAGATGATGTGTTTCTTGGTGGTCCCCGTCTATCAAAAAGCCACAAAAACAATTTAAAGATGTAAGACTAGTATACAGCATTTCTTTTTAAGTGCATTTGTTACTAAAATGTTTACAATGCATGTTTTGTAAACTGTGCACATAAGGTTGTAAAGTTTTTGGGGTTGGGCCTCTTATCTTAGTAGCCAGGGCATAAAATCCAAGTAAATAATGTCCAAGATTCAAATCCCAACTTCTGTACCAAAGGGAAAAGGGAAATGGGTAATTTTGTTAAAAGTAAGAATGGGGCTAGCAATGGCCGGGACGGCCCGGCATGGCCTTGCCCAGTCGGCCTGTACCTAAAAAATTTGGGCCTTTGCCTTCAACTGTGGCCCGAGGGCTGTGTTAGGGCCAATGGCGGCCCGGTTTGGCCCAGCCTGGCCCTCTTTTAGTCTTGTTTTTTCTTTTTTTTTCTTCATTTGTCTTTTGGTCCAGGCCGGCTCTAACAGGCCATGGCCGGCCCTATCCCAGCCCAAGCATGGTCCATTGCCACCCTTAAGTAAGAAGCCACATGACCAAATATAACCAGTAGTACTTCTACACCAAGGGCCTGTCTGGATAGCAAATAATTTAATCATGAATATACTGCTTTGTCCATAATTAGTATATTGTATATAAAATTGCTCTGCAGTTGTTTGTACTTTGCTATATGTTGTTTGGAAGAGATTAACTTCACACCCAATTTACACCAATTTTTTACCAAATTGATACCAATTTTTAGGAATTGTGCTGAGTCTGTGGTTCAGTATCCCTAAAAGTACGCTTTGCAAAAAAGGGCAAGCCTTAAAATTTCTCAATATATTCATTTTTCTTGACCTAAATAGAGGACTTTCTTGGGAATTTTATTAAACCTGAAACCCTAAGACCAGAGATGGATTTCCCCTCATCGCTCAGCACTCACACTCTCTTTCTACATTATTTCTCTTCTCCAAGTGTAATGAAAACCCATCTTTTGGTTTCCATCCTCCTTCTAGATCTAATCCAAAATCCAAATCTAGCCCTCACTTCCCGTCCTCCATCCTCCTAAAAATCAAACCCCTCCTCGAAAAATCTAACCCTCCATTTGCATCCTCCCTCCTAAAACTCCAAGTGGAAGCCATTTCCCTGCACCATAACCACTTCCTCTAGTCTCCCAAAATGTAACCCTGTTGATTTCAATCTTCCCTCCACCTAAAACTCCTATACCCCATCTTGTTCCTGCAACATATTCCACCTCTCTCTCGAAAACCAGTCTCCAATGGCTGATGGAGAAAGCGTTGCAGAGAAGATGAACAATAAGAGTCAAAAGGCTCAGCAAAGAGAGTCTGCTTCAGTAACACTCTCTTCTTGAAACTGACAAAGACGACCCAATAGAGGACCTTTCTTTTTCCTGCTATCAACACACTCAAACAAGAGCTCTCTACCTCACCCAAATTTGAGGTTGGATCAGTTGGGTTCTTTGAGAGCCCTATAAGACAAAAAGCTCAGTTGCAAGCCTGAAACCCTAAAAGCAGAGATGGATTTAACATGGTTTCAGCCAAACCACCATTTCAGGTTTTTGGATCTTCTTCTTTCTCTTCGAAGCAAAACTCCTATGATTTTGAGAGAGAAACCTCTAAGAACTGGATGGGGATAATCACTGAAAGCTTGAGCTTGGTAATGGAGATCTTATGTGGCGAATGGAGTGAAAAGAACTTTGTCCAATGCATAGTTGCTGGAACCTTGTAGGAAAGGTCACGTACCAGCCCCGGAACCTCGGTCCTACGATTCTAGCTATGAATCTTGGATAGAACACGGATCCCTATATTGTGATCCTTGTTCCCAGCAGGTTTGAACTGCGGTTCTCAAGTATATGATGCAGTGCATATGATGTTTTCTCTATTCAGAGTTGATTCATATGCATTGATTCAGGTTTGTGGCCAATGGTATTGTGAACCCACACATCATTCTCCATCCCTTAAAGCTTACTATTGCGATTCCTTCCTCATGGAATTGTGCTCCCCTGTGGCAAGGATTGTGCTCCCTTCATATAGGATCATACAGATGGCGATCCTAACCATAAGGAGCCTCCAGCAATCCATGGTTCTGCAGACCAGAGCCAGCTCCCGCTCTCGAGAACGTACACGCACCTGATGACTGTGGTCTAGTGTCTTTACGAGCAAGATTTTATGATGGTTGTGGAGGGAGTAAAACGGGGGAGGACTCTAGACATGCCATTGGTTTTTAGACAGAGAAAGCTCTGATGATGCTCAAGAGAGAATGGCAGTCAGGGCTTTAATGGCATTTGGAGAGAACGGGTGGTCAAGGATTGGAGGATGGCATTTGGAGGAACGGGTGATCAAGGATTGGAGGATGGCATTTAGAGAGAGAATGGCAAGAGAAGGTTCTTTTCCTTCGTTTCCCACGCTAGTTAAAGCAAGCATTGGACCGGATAAAGTTAAACTGAGTAAAGTAAAAACAATTAAAATATAAACTTATATGTAAAACCACTTACAAGCTTACGTCAAATAACTTTACAAGGGATTTTACCAAAACAACAACTACATGCTTATCATGAATAATTTAATCATCATCATCATCCAAGCCTTATCCCAATTATTTGGGGTCTGCTAATCATGGTAGTTTTATAAGAACTGTAACTTATTGGCAACAACGCGTGCATCCAGAAAGGCCCAAAATGTTTTCTGCCATTAAATTCTTACTAGTTTTATAATTTGGTAGATTAACTTAGTCTGCAAGAGAGATTTGAACCTAAGACCTCTCTCAGAGCTAACAAGGCATCTCAAAATGAGCTAAAGGCTCCTTTGACCTTGAGTTCTTCCTAATTACTACTGACCAGTCAAAACCATCACGCTTCTAATACTAGCTCAATAATTCTGATTGCAAATAAACATCAGATGCATCAGACTGAAAACGCTAGTCACGTAGACCATAATACACATATACTTGAAATTAGGAGCAATATTCGTTCTTTTTTTTTAAGCAATTTCAGCTTGTCTACTAATTTCGGAACACAAGAAGAAATAACAAAACATGGATCTTGTAGGCATGTCCATAGCCCATATCTGGGCAGTCATAGATTGTGACACATTCTTTATACATCAAATGTAGATGTAATTCAAGTACTTGGAATAAAAGTCTTCCCAGAGGTACAGTAATATCAAGGTAGTTGAACTTTTGTTGTAGTTGATCTTTAATTTTTTTTTGTTGGGGGGAGAAAGAGAGAGGGAAAGGGGGGGGGGGGGGGGGAAGCGCATTCAGATCTGCAGAGGCTACTGGAGTAAGAAGATCTTTTTTTCTCTCAGTTTTCCTGCAAACTAGAATAAGGCTGTAACGGCTATAGTTTTCCTGGCTCCTGCTTGTCAGCCATGCTAGTTAGCATCATGAAGTGTGGATCAGCCTGAACAACGATAGTTTTCTACTATAAGTTTCTGCTTTTCAAAAATTAAAACATTATAAATGAGCTATCAAACCCCATGAATCCTGTCCCATTCCACCCATTTTCCTCCACACTAGAAAAATTTCTGGAATTGGCAGATCTAGATCCTTACCTCATTGTAATCCACTGATAATTCACAGCACAGGTGTATCAGAGAAGCTCTTGTTGAAATCACTCTAAAGACCTCTCTTTGTATACATCACCTCTATTGAAAACTATTGTAGTCTCTTCCTTCAACTTGGCTAGTCTCCTCTATCTAACTAATGCAAAAGATTGTCAGATGGCAAATCCTCAAAAGCACATATCCTATTTAAGTAACAAATCCACTCAGCTAGCAACCCAGAGAACTTCAAGTGATTAGCATCACTCAACAAGGCTGACATGCTTCAAACAGATTCAGGATGAAGCTTCAAACCTTTCATGCATAGTGAATGTACAAGAGAACTTCTTCTCTGCCTCCTTGCACATAAAACATGCATGTGGGGTTTCAATCTCACGATTTTGAAGGTGGTTCACCATGAGGATTTTCTCGAGAATGGCCAAGTATCCAAAGCAGAAAGAAGAAGCAGATTTGGTCCACCTCAAATGGGGCAAATACCAACTCCCTTTTGCCCTTAAATAGTAGAGACATAAAGAAGAAACTAACTAAGAACTAACCCACACTTATCAACTCCCCATCGAGGGCTTGTTTGGCTCCTTCAGGAAAACATTTCTTGAAAATTCCAAGGAGAGAGACATGGTTGATGGTTCATAAGAGAGAAGGGATGGCAATTGCAGAAGAGAGATGAATGGGGGTAAAAAAGATTCATTTTCAGAGAATAAATTTTCCACCTATTTAGTTGGAAGATCTTTTTCCCAAAAATGAGTAAAAAATGAGAGGAAGATAAGATTTCTCCTCCAATTTGGGTGTCAATCATTGGAAATCATTGGAGATGCCTTATTTCCAGGGAAGAATATCCTAGAATATCAATTTCAAACACCCAAATGCTCTAAGAGAAATCTCACACGTCATATTATTCCATACTTACAATCTCCTATTAGTATATTTTTTGCACAGGATGATACAAAATGATTTGGTGTTTGCATCTCAAGCTCCTTTTGTAGTTTGAGCTCCAAACAATTTGACACAATGATATCTGCCCTCATAGATTAGAATCACCCTTCAGGCGGTCCTCTAGACATTAAAGCCAACCACCCACATCTACCTTTCCCTCAGATGGACTTGGTCATTGCTCAATCCATCAACTCTATGTGGGTATCTTGAATCAAAACCACATCACTTTTCCCATCTTTACAGAATATTTAAGTTGTCAACCTTGGAATCACCTAAGTTCCCAATATGATCTTCATGGTGAAGATGTAAGCTTTCCTACATTAACACCTTGACATTTCCTAAGCACTAGGCAATCCACAATAAGATCTTCATAGTGATAATAAGCTTTCATAACCTGTATGCTGCTAACCCTCTTCACCTTCTTTTTAGCGATATCTGCCTATAAGTAAAAGACGATACAATGCCTTTTAGGTACCTTGTTACTCACCTTTCCGATTCACCCTTTTATCCTCTTAGTACGCTCTTCTCTTTCCCTCTCCTCAGCATCAAAGAAATTTCCGAACACTAGAAAAGTACGAACTATTATCAATTCAGAGGAAGGTTTGATAACACGTTCTTTTCCAAGATTTGATATTTTACAAAAAAAAAAAAAATTTCTAGCACACATATATTCTAATTAGAGAAATTTCCCTTTTCACTTTTAGATGTGATGAGAATTAAACTGAGTAATCTTGCACAATGTTTATGTATATTTGGATTAAAAAGCATCATATTATTCTTAACTAAACTTGCATACATATCACAAAACTCGGATGAAAGAAAAATTACAAAAACATAAATGTATAACAACTCCTGAGATTGAGAGTAAATTAATTATAAAGGTTATCAAAACTTAACTAAGCATGAACATTTCAGGGAAAAAAAAAATATTAACCAAGCATGAAATTGATCTGTGAAGCCCATTCATCTTCTCCCACTATTTAAAATTGTCAACCAAGTACCACTAACCCTATTAATTCAGTGACTATAGTTATCTCCAAATACCTGAAGCTTTGTAAGTTCATGGTAATAAACCTTTCGCTCGTTATTAAAGACTCAAGCTCCATTTCCCATAGTTCAATTGTAGCTAATCACCTTTCTCTCACAGTTATGGTTAAAATTCTAACCCTCTGAAATTCCCCCAATTTCACAGACTTTCAGGGCAAAAGAAAACCCTTAAATCGAAAAAAAAACTTAAAATGAATCAAACACCACAAAAACGAAAACAAATTAATAAATTCCCACCTTCTCCTATTCCTCTTTCCAGCCTCTCTAGCCTTCCTTTTCTTCTCCTCGTTCTTGTTCTCAAAGAACCTCCGCCTCTTGCACTCCTGAATCACCCCAGCCCTCATAACCTCGCGCCTGAACCTCCTCAACAAAACCTCTTCTGGTTCATCATCATCCACCACTATCTGAACATTGTATCCAGAATTAAACATCACAATATTTGCATTTCTGAGAGACGTATCAATGAATTTGTCTCTGGTTTCATCAAAGGAGGACCATGAGGAGAGGCTTCTCCCTGATTTCTGTGTAAAGAACTTTTGTGGAGGAGGAGGAGAAAGAAACTTTGAGGAAGAGAGAGAGGGGAATATGCGGTAATTTAGTGAGAGAGAGTTTGAAAGGTGAAAAGAGAGGAGGTTGCATGAAGCAGCCATGGCGGAAACAGAGAGAGTTTTGCTCAGAGGTGGAGATAGGGGTGGGGTTATATCTGGAAGACGTTGCTACGTAAAATGTACTAATTCCTTTATTTTGGAAAATTCGCAAATAGCGGCCAAGCCCGCATACGTAGAAATGCGGGCTTCTTAAAAAAAAAAATTTTGAGATAGATTTTAAGGCTTAATTTTTAAGGACATGTATTCTCCAACATGGAGATCATGAATATGAAAAAATAAATAAATTTAAAATTTTAAAATAATAATTCTAATAAAAAATTAGTTAGACCGTTAGTTTTTATTGGTTTTAGATGAAACACCTACTTGCCTCCATCTCTAACATGGATGGTTTACACTTTCTGGATTGTATACGTAGAAATGCCATTCACGCCGCATAAAACAATTTTTTAAAAAAACTCTATTCGTGCCCATTAGTGGGGGGATACGAGGTAAGGGTGGCAATGGAGCGGGCCAACTTTGGCTCGGGCGGGCTAGCTTTTGGGCTGGCTCATATCTTGTTTTATAGGCTAGCCTAGCTTTATTAGGTCGTTAAAAATATATATTAAAAAAAAAAGGGGATGGACCTAGCCTAACTAGCCAGCATTGGCCTTGATCCAACTCTTAAACCCTACATTTTTGGGGCCTGACAACTAGACCGAGTGTTCTGCCCGGCCCATTGCAAGTAGTGGTGGCAATGGACTCGGACCCGACCTAGGACCCGTTGGGTATACCCAACACAAGTCGGGTATAGATCTAGCATTTGGACTTGGCAGGTCGGGTCCGATTCTGAGTCCAGTTGGACCCAACCTGTAAGTACTTTAAAGCTTTATTCATTTGAGTATACTAAGGATCATGTATAATTAGAATTAGTTGTCATCTTTAGCTATTAAATGACAAATCACATGGCTTGAAATATAATAGCAAGTGATTGTGACCTTGTTGCCAACAATACAGGTACATGATGGTAAGCAAAGGGCCTAGACTTTATTAAAACAAAATAAAGCTTTACCTCAAATTCTCATCCAGAAAGTACTTTTGGCAACGAAAATTTCCATGATGGCTCTAAAATCAATTTCCAAAATCGACAATGAAATTTGAAGCTCAAAAAAGGTAGAGATCATGTGGATCTATGAACACTTATTTTTAGGGCGAAATGGACGGTCTTCATAATTTGTTACAATATACGCTATTAGAGTTAAATTTTTTTTTTTTTTTTCACAATCATAATGTGCAAGCCAAGATGATCGATATAAAAACTTTCCAATGCTTAAATTGCAGTTTTTGATGAGTTATAAGCTGAGGCCTTACTTATTTTGTTAAGGTTACAGTCCTATCAAATCATTTTCCTTGTGTAATTAGTAGATTTACGTGCAACTAGAGTTGGGAACAGGTCGGGTAGGGTACAAGTTCACTTGGACCTATACCCAAATCCAAAATGCATACATGGGACCCCGATTCGACCAGGTCTAGAGTATCTGGGTCCAGACCCATAATTTATTTAGAGGACCCGTACCCGGACCCAACATATTATCTATGGTAAAAATAAAAAATTAGCTAAAAACGTTTTTTAAAAAATTATCTAAAAAAGTGTACCAAAAAAAGTACTAAAAATGACCAAAATATGTAAATAGCAAGTAAGAAGATTTGGGCAATAATTCATCAATTTTCTCATTTTAAGACTAATAACCCATGCACATATGTACATGGGTTATTCTAGGCTGCACCAATTTAAGGGTGAAGTTAAAATTTCGTGCTCCAAAATTTTTTACCGCAAACTATCATTGTAAATTTAAAAGAACTTTTAACTATAAATTGTCAATTTATTCTAAAAGGGGGTATTTTGTTTATTTTTTATCCCTTCGAAAATCAGCTTCAAATTAAAAATGATTATTTTAACTTTTTAAAATGATATCTATATTTTGAAGGCAATTTAAAATGGAAAAAATTATATAAGTGTGAGGCTCTAAATAATCAAATTAGGGCGCACCTCAAAATTTCACTAGGAGAGGTTGTTTTGATGTCCAAATATCCTCAAATTGATCTTCTCAACCTCAAGATGCTTGAACATGAGAAAAAAAATGGATTTCATGTTTTGGAAATAGTGCATCTTGTATTACATTTTTGGACCATTAATTTTCAATATTTTCAAGTTTTGATAGATATGCTTGATCTACATTGTTTTTTAAGCTTTAAATTTTATAATGTGAAAGGTTTCTCCGCTACAGCATAGAATATCTCTGCTCCCTTACCATCTAGCCGTCCAATTTTGATCAAGTGAGCCACTCGCCGTTTGATCTTAGATCCGATGCCTCAGAGTATTTTATTTTTAATTTTTTGGTACAATTTTATGAATATTAAATTTGGTATGTGCTATCTTCTCATTGGGACACACGTAAAAAAAATATTAAAAATAATTTTTCGATAAAATATAATGACCAAAATACCTCTTGAATCTTTTAAGGGTATTTTAGTTATTTTATTTTATTGGGAATATTTTTTATATATTTTTTAGAGGGGCGAGTTTAGTAGAGTAATGGACGCCCAAAATTTGGTGTCAAAGTAGTTTTTATAAAAAAATATAAAAATAAAATAGTGTAGAGACGTGACATTGTAATTGGGGCAATTTTAGCCCTCCATTCAGGATGGACGGTTGGATAAGGGGAAGTATATAAATCGTATGTTCTAGGGGAATCATAGAAAGCTTGCCCTTTTATAATTAGAGATGAAAATATATTTTAAGACTATCACAAAAATTTTCAATATTGAAACCACAAATCTCGACACAATTTGAAGGTGCGGATTGTTTAGAGCCTCGGCTTTATATAAACTACACCTATTTAAAATTAGAAATGTAGGCACACTCAAAATTTTCAGACAAGTTCTTACAATGTGTCTTTAAATTCTTAAGGGTTTTTCACTGTCAAAATTTTAGAGTATTCTAGTCTAAAATAACCCTAGACACGCACAGAGACACATATATGTAAGGGAGAATGATGCTGTTCGACTTAAAGAAGTAAATTTTAGGTTTGATATTCAGAGCTTCGGACGTATTTTTTAGCCCTTATTTCTTGATAAAACGAGCAAATTCGGTGTCCTCCTAGTAATGCTTACGCCGCCATTTTCGAAATGAGGTCATGGTAATAATTTCAACAGCACGGCGAGAATTATGCTTACGCAAAGTCGGGTATTTTTCAGGGTTATTTTTAAGATGAGATTACCTTAATTTATTTTGTTAAGAATAAAATTATCAAGTTTGGGTCTACTTGAACTAAAAGAGTTCTAATTACATTAGAATTTGGATTACGAGGTCTAAATAAAGTTTATAAATTGGGGTATTGTTTAAGAAACCTTGCTTCCGTGAATTCCATTGATTCATTGAACAATGCTGGGCCATTGAAGCTGGGCCTATTAGCTTCCTTTTCAATTTCAGTCAATTTATCAGTGTTTATAGTACTGTTCTTGAAATTTTCTGGGAAGAGTTTACAAATAAATAGAAGCATGACTTATAAATCACAGATCTCTTTCCTTACCTCCAATTTTCAAAAGTCTGAACTCCTTTAGATATGAAGTTTTTAGATTGATGGAAATTCAAGAACATCTCTTGGAGTCTATGGAGCCTGTCCCAAGTTGCATTTTCAGGTGTCCTATTGGTCTAATGGATGAGCATTTCTATCTCAGATCGATTGTGACGCTTCACCATAGTGCAGTTTAATTTTTGCCCTCATCTGAGATGAAGGAAAGGTCATTCTTGGTTGTAGTTTGCTGCCCCAATTTCTTCTTCAAAAAAGAAAAATGGAAAATGCATGAATTAATGAATCTGCGAGAAACTCTAGCTGATGTGCCACTAGTCCAATCTTGCAAGTGATTTTACAAAGCCCATAGAATTAAGGAGATAACTTCCTCCACCAGTGAATGAACACAGGGTTTGGTTTTAGATATAGGTGAACCATATTCCCCCTCTTGAAACTCTCTCTTAATCTCATGTCAATCTGCTCATTGCTTCATTATGTGTTGTAGCACTTGTAATTTGCCTTGGGTCTTGAAGGATCTGATAGCAATATTTCCATTCTATTTCGAGCCTACAAATATTCGTGGCCCCAAGGTCATAAGAGGTAATAGCAAGAGGTGGTTGGGTGTAAATTGCTTTATATGTGTCAGATGCATTAGTTGGAATAAGGCTCAGATGATGATGATGATGATGATGATGGTGGGTTGGATGCATTGATGAGTGTTATCCATGAGTGTCACTTAGTTCGCTATCTTGGATGGTCACCAATAAAACAGGATAAATATGTTTCTAAACAACAATTGAATGCCTCAAGCTGCATGTAAGTTTGTAAATAGTGAGATGTGTGCATCTTCAATTGAGCGCCTCATAACCTAGACAGTTCCTGACAAAATTGATTAGTAAACACAGGTCAAGATCACACTTACAATGGAGGTGCATACCATGGAGTTTGACTACATGGTTCACAAATAGTTCAGCTACTGTCGATGTTGTGTATGGATGGGATAGAGAAATAGAGTTGGAAATACTTAAAAAGCTGATCTACATCCACCCTAATCATATTTTTCTCTTGTGAGTTAGTAAGCCCCTCAATGAAATCCAGGGATACGTTTAACCATATATATGCTCCTGCATTCGTATGGTTTGTAACATACTTCGATAGGCAATATTACATGGAATAGATATGTGTGTTGGTATCTAGTATATATTGGAGTATCTAGTATATAAAACCAAATTCTGAGTACTTCATGACACATCCATACAATCTATATATTAACCAAATATAATTGTACATATAATAAAACTTCCTTTACCTGAACTTCTATCGTCGAGTGTCGTGGTGGTAGAAGTCATGCCGAGGTTGAATGGCCCTGCCTAAGAGGCTGTGGGTTCAAATACGCTTGTTTTCTTATACTCATTCATGGAGAGTTTCAACCACTACTCTACCATTGAAACCTCTTAAATTTATGTGGCAGAAAAATGCCAGACACTTTTATAAAATGTGTTGATACGCACTCAAAAAGTGATGACGTTATCAGACACACACAA